GATTGTTTGAATAGAGCTGGCAATATGGTTTTGAATTTTACATAGAAACACAATAAAAAAACTAAATAGTCAAAAACAATCCTAGAAAAGAAAAACAAAGCTAGCAGATTTACACTGCTGAGCTGAGAACTTAGCACAAAGTTACAAAAATTGGGCAAATGTGATATTGGTCTAAAGCAATGACAAACAAATCCTAGAGAGACCCCATCTCCCCATCTACCTCCCTACCTACCTGGTCAAAGCATTTCCTCACACACACAGGCGTCAGAGTAAGTAAGCAGGGACAAGCATTTATAGCAACAATGGTGCCACATAACTAGACACTCACACCTTTATCTTATCTATGCAAAATTAACTCAAAATGAGTCTTAAGTCTCAGTGAATAAACTAAAGTTATAAAAACATCTAGAAACAAAAAAAGAAAAGTTTTATGAACATGGACTAGGAAAGTATTTTTAGGAAACCATAAAAGTATAAATCTTTTTTAAAGTAAAAGATTAAATCATAATTGGTCACATTTTAAATTATTTCTAACATCAATGTTAGAAAAATTAAAATTCAAAAGAAAGAAAAATTAAAATTCAAAGTACAGACTGTAAAAATATCCATAAAACATGATAAAGGTGTCCCATCTAGGTTATAAAATAATTTTTACAACGCAGCAATAACCGGACAAAAAACTTGATTCTAGAATAAAAAGGAAAATTGTAACAGATGCTTCACCCAAAAAGATACATGATCATAAAACAAATGCAAGGGAAGCTTTTCAACAGCATTAGTCACAGAGAAACACTACCACACACCCACTGAAAAGGCTAAAATGAAGAGACTGGAGAGCACCCGTCTTTGAGAGGATGTGTAGTAACCGAGCGCATACACTGTTTGTGGGAAATGCAAATGAAAAGTCTGGCAGTTTGTTCTAATCTCAAACTCACACTTACCAGATGACCTAGCACCCTTCCTAAAACATTTTTTGTTTCTAGATTATTCTTTTTAATGAATAAACGATTAAAAAGAAAAATCTCGTGTAGTTTCAGATAGGAAAGATGATATTCTAGTGACAAATGCCACAGAACTGCATTCCTAAAAAGGACTAAAGTGGTAAATTGCGTGCTGTGAAATTAACTTTTAAAGGGGGGGCAATACTAAGTAGATGGACATAAATCTGGAGATCCAAAGTGACTGCATTTTAAAATAGCAAACTAGTCAGCCGGATGTGATGGTGCCAACTGTAATCCCAGCACTTGAGAGGCTGATGCAGGAGGATCACAAGTTTGAGGAGAGCTCAGAGTCATTCTGTACCACATATGGAGACTGTCTCAAAGTAAACAAACAATAAGACTACATTGATTTCAGAATCAAACTGAAAGTGATTATAGCATTAGGAGGATTTTACTAGTAGAAGGAAATGATACTTTCCAATTCTTTCCAATTTTATCTGTAATACTTAGGGGGGTCAAAAAAAAGTACACTTTGTGCTAACAACAATTTGATTGCCCAGAGAAGCCAGGATAAACACTGGGAGAGAAATATCATAATCATAACCATCATCACCATCCTCCCCAGGTTCTCAAGGGTGGCCCTGAAACATATCATTGTATTATCTGCATTAATTTAGAAACTCAACTGAGCACAGATATGCAAAACCTGTTTCTAGAAGCCACAGAATGATTATAGTCTAGGGTTAAGTAAGATTATGCAACAATTGCCAAAATAAACATCAAATTCCATGTGATTTAGGGAAAAGAGAAAGCCATCTGTGCAACTAATTCACTGAGAATAAACCACAGTCTGATAGGGACTAAGGTTTGTCAAATGATCCTTATACTATCAATAGCTATGCCAATAACAGAGTCAGAAAGTCTCAGGCTAACTCCAAGGATGGCAGAGATGTAATAATCTACCTGGAGCTGGCAAGACATTCTATCAAGAAATAATACACAGAGAATCTTGTATTTCATTAGCAGATAGAAAACTAAGCTTGAAGAGCACATGCCCAGACAATGAAGGACGTGTGAGCTCTCAGGAAGCTCTCTGTTCAACCTAGAAACAGATGGCATTCAAATCTACATGGGTTTTTAGGAGAGAAATTTCTCCCTTTATGGTTTCTGGTTTTTTTGTTGTTGTTGTTGTTTTTTTTTTTTTTTAAACAGTGTCTTAGTCCTGGTTGGCCTAAAACTTGATATATAGACCAGGCTGCCTTGGAACTTGTTGTAATCCTCCTGCCTCTGCCTTTCAAGTCCTGGGACTAGAGGCATGTGATACTACATTCAGTTTACAAGAGAAATTTCCATCTCTGATAGTAAGTGATAATATCAGTAGCAGTTATACACAGTGCTTTCTACTTGCCAGACACTAGTTCTAACTAGGCCATCTGTATAGAATGACGACAGTCATGCCTGCACAACACTGTAAGGCAGGTAAAGGACTGGCAGGCTCAGAGATCAGGTTAGATCAGGTTAGCCCTCCCTCCTTCCAGGCTGGTAAGTGACAGAACCTCCTCAGGGTCAGGGTATCCTCTTCTGGGTCCCAAGTCTGTGGTCATAACTACACTATAATGTCCATTTTTGTAAAATGCCATTTCCTTCCCGTGGCAGCCAAGATGGTCCAAGAAAGTGTTGTAGCTGCAGAGCCGGGTGAGGAAGGGCACTGCCGACAAGAGCGAGAAGCGAGGACACGCTCTCTACATTAGTAAAGCCGATCTGGGAGCAGGCGCTTCACGTGGAGCACAGGTGACCAACACAAGGAAGTTCACAGACCCTAAAATCCTCCACAACTTTCAATTTTAAAAGAAGTTTATTAATTTTTTTCTTTAAAAGGCAAGATGTATTAAATAATCAAATGCAAAAACATTTGATTTCATTTTCACAAGAATTCAATTTCATTCTTTAAAAAATATTTAATAAGCACTTAGGTGTTCATGTACTATGCTAAACATAAGACATATAAAAGCTGACTATTAAAAATTAAAAATAAAGGGTCTCTGTTCTTAAGGAAAATCTACAGTCTACAATAATCCTTTGCAACTATCCTCATTTTACAAGACCTAACACAAGGGAGTGAACTGATCAGTTAAGGACTTAAGTGAACAAAAGCCAACATAGAATTTGACATCTAAGTCATCCAACCCTAAAACCTACATCCTTGAAATTCCTCTCATTTCAATATATATATATATATATATATATATATATATAGTTACTAATAGCAATATTATACAGTTAGGTCATATTAGTAATAAGGTCAGCAAGCTTGTGAGGGCTGCCCTCAGTAGCCACTCTGCCACAAACCCCATTGAGTATGTATTGATATAACTTTCTGCTATTTACCGAAAATGGGTAAACTATTAAAGATACCATACTTTATAAAGAGACGTACCTAAGTACCTCAGTAGAGGGCCCCACAAGCATGAAGAGATGAGTTCAGATTCCCCAGAACCCACACAAAAGCCAGGCATGGCCATTCATGCCCATCTCAGCACTGGAGAAGCAGAGACAGGAGGACCCCTTGAGCTGCCAGTCTAGCCAAACTGTGAGCTTCAGGATCAGTGAGCAGATGTAAGGTGCACAGTGACTGAGGAAGATACCCAGTGCCAATCTCTGTCCTTCATGCATACACAGGAGCACACACACACAAATATACACACACAGTAAATGAATAAAACTTTTACACAGAGGGCTTTAAAATATGGCCAATCCATCTAGCTGTTTATCATTGCTCAGCTCTGGAATCAAAAGTTTACTTGTATGAGCTGGCTACAACTTGAGGGTCCTGTAAGGGGTCCATCTGATTATCTCTATACCACTAGCCTAGACTTGCTAAATTAAACAAAACTAACAAGTAGTAACAGATTTTTGAAAGAAACACTAAAGGAACAGCTACAGTCACAATGAGTAGTAAGTTTAAAATCGTGTTTTCAAAGTTTACATCCAACACATCATAACCATCATAGTCTAGAAACACTGAAAAGTCAAACTTGACTCTAAGCAAGCACTAATAAAAGAGAAAAAAGGCTATCAAATAGGAGTCGTGTTTAAACCATAGTCGAGTGGTTGCGAGCACTTCTGCTCTTCCAGAAGACCTGGTTCTTCTTCCTAGTACCCAGTTTGATATCTCACAACCCCTGTCTCTAACTCCTGCTCCTATTTCTTCTGGACTCTGTGCAAACACCCACACATGGTGTACACTCACACAGACATATAAATATAAAATACAAAAATATATAAAGAGGGGAATAATGATATAGATATATAATGTATCTTCCTTATATAAATGAACATGGATTCACTGAATCACGTGAAAAGTATCTTAAAAATAATTAAGTTAGCTCTATGCCAAATTTTGCTCAGTATATTTAGTCTATAATCATAAAAGAAGACCTCCTGGCATGTTTTAAATGTAAAAACAAGGAGATGAGAAGAAATTGATTAAAATATTTACAAAATTACAAAAATTTATATACAAAACTTTAACTTTTAAAATCTGCTTCCTATTTTTTCTTCCCTAGAACCTTTCGCCCTTTGCAGTGGAAGCTGCTACTTCATCTTTCAGCACCTCTGAAACACTCTGAGACAATGGATCAGCAGAAGGTGGATGCACTCAATTCAGAATCCACATAGTACCATGTGACAAAGCTGGGTGAGAGGATCTCTTGTGTAATGGTTTCATAGGTTTGTAAAGCAATGTAGTTTTTCTTAAAAGACACCCCTTAAAGCCAGAGACAACATCTTTTCCCTGCTCACCTACGCACATTTTCAATTGCTGCCAGCACCTAAGTAAACTGCTTAAATACAAAGTTTTATGATCTGGTTTCAATTTCTTACCTGTTGAATAAACTGATACCCTAAGAATCACCACAAGGAATACTCTGCTAGCTTACATTTGTCCTGCTTTTTTAAAGCTTTCTTTATAAACATGCATTGGTAATTGAGGTTTCGAATCTCCCCGCTGTGGACAGGCAGCTCCTACAGATGGAATGGACAGACGAGCTTCGTACTCACCATATAGTTGCCATAAGCGTGATCAAACATTTCCAGGACTTGATTTCTAATTGTGAAAAAACAGAGAGGGAAAAAAGTTACGTATATTCTATCAACTGGACTTCAGGAACACAATTTTCCTTCATAAAAGCACACTAATAAAAAAATAAAACTTTACTTAGAAGGAAACCATAGAGGGAGAAGTTTTTATTACCTCAGCACAAGGGGTGGGGCCAGACCTTTACTACCCTAGTCCTAGTAATTTATATAAAATTGCCGGGGTTCTTTTCTAAGAAGACTATTGAATGACCCGTGTCATAATGCCAGAGAAGAAAAGCTGGTTTTGAAAAGAACATTACAGATATTTAATGCAATTATGTAGCCTATTCTTGGAGAGGGATGTTTCTAGACGACTCCTCAAAGCAACAATTATTAGTACCATTTATTGTTTTTTTTTATATACTCTGCTAAGGGGGTGGAGTGTGTTACACTAATATGAACTAATATTTTCTCAAGCCTGTGCCTTTCCCATTAAACTGAGTAAAACCACAAATGCCCAGTTTAAGTCCATACTATGTCTCATTTCCAAAAGATACACTTTCTGGAGTACTCTGCTCTCTTAAAAACACTCTCAAAAAGTAGAATTCACTTCAAAAACAAAAACTTGACAGCTCAAAGGGAGACTTATAGCTTCAGGAAGCTAGGGCTACAGGATCACAAGTTTAAGATCAGCCTGGGAAGAGGGAGGTAGCAGAGAAGGGAGAGAGAAAAGAGAAGAGAAGAAAATCTTTCTCTAAACTCCAATACAGCTGTTTAAAGAGAAGGAGTCAGGCACCCGAACCAGGTTCACTCCGGCAGACCCCACGAGTCTCACAATGATGCATTCTCATGACCAGAACCCGAGTGCTGTTACAAAAGCTAATGTTGAGAGCCAGCCAGGGCTGAATCCAATCATCAGCAGAGGAAAACAGTGAGACAAGGGGATCCTAGCTCTTTTCTTCCCAAAGTCCACTTACTAAAATCAGGACTAGAAAAAGAAGTGAAGAAAATGTTTTCCTTCCTATTATATATCTTGTCATTTTCTGAACAATTCAGAAATTATGAAATGCTGATAATAATAAAGGCAGCAGGCAGAGAAGCTCTAATACCCAACCCTGGTTATCACGACCAGCAAGGTTAAGTACACTTCATTTTGTGACCTAAATTTAAATGGTCCTGACAAGTTTTTATAACTATTTTAAAACACCTACTCATTAAAAACAAGACCTTGGCTGGCAAGAGACTTCAGTGGGTAAAGGCTCTTGCCACAGAGCCTGACAATCTCAGTTTGATCCCAAGAACCCACTTGGTGGAAGAAGAGGATTGAGTCCTGTGTGTTGTTCTGACTCCATATGCCACGGCACACACGCAAATGTAATAAAATAAAAAGATCTCCCTACTGCTGGGTTAGAACATCATAAGTTTACACAGATCCAAGGAATTTCAGAAAATTAAGGAGTATCTTACGGAATCCCTCTAGACACTCATCTTGCAAATGATAACGATCTCTTCAACAGCAGCAAGGCAGGGCCCCACAAAACCTGTGAACACTAACCTAAAAGTGGGATACGCAAACTCTCTCTTCCCTGAAGTACGATAAACAGTTCCTATCAAGAAGCGCAATTTCCTGTCACTGGGAATTCTAGAGACCAGAAGTGCATCGAAGGTGGAAAACTCCAACTTGCTAACTCAACTTTGAGAGCTATGAATTTTCCAGATTATGGGTAAATTATGATTGCAAATGAAGACACACTTACACCATTGCAACATGCAATCAGCAAGTTCCATGACATAAACTTCAAAGCGGGCATATAGAATGGCACAGTGACTATATTAAACAGCTAAAAAGTTTTTACAGTTTTCTATCTTTTTAACAACTATATAAGGTGTATTGGAAATCTGACCCCCCCCATTTAAAATTTAAAATTGTTTTTATTCTTCAATAATTTGTATCAATCAATTCTTTCCTAAAGTCACACTGCCTCCCAATACCAGTAGTAACTGCATTGATCTATACCAGCTGAGAATCAAAAATATTACCAAAATCTCCTATCCTGAAAAACTTCCATGAAAGATAAGACAACATATCCGGTACATAACTACAGCAACTGCTCCCAACAATTCCAGTGTGTGTGATATGCACATGCAAGTGCACAAACTCTCTCTCTCTCTCTCTCTCTCTCTCTCTCTCTCTCTCCACCTTACTTTTTGAGACAGGATCTCTCACTGGACCTGGCGCTCACTGATTTGTCTACACTGACTGTCCAATGACTCATAAGATTTCTAATAAAAAAGTCAAATACAATATTTGCAGCCATACTAGAATTAATACCCCCCCATATCTTAAGGAAGCACAGCACTGTGCCTACAATGTGCTATGAGGTCAGACATAGGTAAATATAAAAACACAACAAAAATCTGACTCCACCTATTACCAGCTTCTGAACAAGGTAACCTTGAATCTCAATTTCTTCATTTGCACAGTGGAGATAGCATCCACCTTGTGACGTAATAACAGTTTTAGAGACGGCTGAGTGCCAACAGAGTGGGGAAGTCATTAAAATGTCACCAGATAATACATTAAACTTACGAAGAAAAAAAGCAAGAACTAGAACTCTTTGGTAATTTTGTCTAGATAGCTGACACCTCATCCTATTTCCTCTGATTTTTATTGCTCTTTTATTAAAAAAATTAATACAGTTCTTTTGCAATGCTCGAAATAAAGAAGCATATATATCAGAACCTAATGGCTCCACTTCCGTTTCATCCTAACATTATGGGATAAGTTACCTTTTATTTTTTTCTAAATTTGGGCAATTTTTTCTTATAAAATGGTATGGCTACTATTTATATATTATCCTACAATTTGCTTTAGGTTTTTTAAAAAAAAACTATTATCTTGGGAATCGATCCTAGATAGCCTTCTAATTACAGAACTCTTTCTAAATGTATGAACATTATTCCATAATATAGAACAAAACAGCATATTTTTTTCAACCATTTCCCTCCCAGGAACCGGTCTGTTCTTTCCAAATGGACCCCTTTCTACACTTATCTCTAACAGTGCTTTTATTTCTGTAGGGGAGATCCCCAGAGAAATGAGTCAAAGTACAAGCACGACTTAAAATTCAGGAGTTGGTGTCAAAAAAAAAAAAAAAAAAAAAAAAAAAAAAAAAAAAAAACCCCACGAATTTACATTCCTGTCAAGTGTTTTCACATCTTCGCTGACCAGGACTGCATCCTGGTGTTTTGTGCTTGCTAACCAGACAAGCAAAGCCCATCCAGCTCACTGTTTTAACACGCATCTCTCACAACTCTTCGCGCTACTGACCCGCACGCACTTCCTCTTTTCTCACTTAACTGTTCACGGTGTTGCCAATTTCTACCGATTCTCCACTTCGTTCTTATTCATCTGTGCCACTTGGGATGCATTAGAATTACTGAATTAAATACTATAAATAGAGTTTTGTAACACTTTTAAGATTCACGAAACTACTCTAAGGGGGTACACGCAATCGAGGCCTTTGAATAACATCAAATCGCCAGCTCCAACTCCTTGTAGGAAAGAAAAGACAGCAAGGGGATAGAGAACTCGGAAAAGTGCAAGTTCCAGTGAACGCCCCCTTTCCTTTAACAGGTGCAAACAGCGCAACATTTTCCCGCTGGGAGCTCAGCGGGGCGAGAACTCTAACCCTCCTCGGGCAAAAGGCGCCCCCAGAACTCCGCAACCCAGGTGGTAGCCCCTCCACCAGCCCCTGCCAAGGCAGGGGCGCTGACACAACACGGCATACGTCTCGGGCGACCCAGGAGACACCCGACAGCCCCCGAGGTCACGTCGTGGGGATCGGCTCCCATCCTCCTGGACCCTGTCCACCGCACCGAGGTACTCCGGCCTCAGCAGCTGTTCCAGTCACCACAGGAAAAGTCCACCGCACGCCGGGGGCGCAATGACAGGCACCTCGACTGCTGGCAGCCGTGCCAGGAAACCCACCAGGACAGCCACGCACCCTTACCCAAGCTTCTGCTTCTCTTCCCTACTCATGGGCGCGGCCCGCGCCGTGCACACGGACGTGGCCAACACCAGGCAGAGAGAGGCCGTCGCTGCCACCAGGCTCCATGGCGCTCGCTGGGGGACCCGGCACCCACAGCCCCGACCGCCGCCGGCTTCGCTCATGGCCCCGCGGTTCCGCGCACGCGCAGCTGCTACACCCGCACGGTGGGCCACATCGCGGGCTGCCGGCGGCGAGGAGTCTGCGAGCCGTGTCGAGGGCGGGCTGCGGAGTGAGGCAGGCGGCCGCCGGCGCCAAACTGTTTGCCGAAGCCACCGAGCCGGTCCCCAGCGCCAGCGCTGCCACCACCCTCCGCCCTCCACGGCCCAGAGCGCCGCCCCCAGCTTTCCGGTGTCGTAGTCTAGGAAACCGCCTCCCCAAGGCTACTTCCGGGTAGAGCAGCAGCGGGATAGCCTCAGGACCAATGGAAACAACCTCGGAGAGGGGCCGGTCACAGCGACAGGACGGGGCATTGGCCAGGAGAAGCGGGACGTGGCCAAAAGGCGGGACTGGGCAGGGAGCTGTCCCTTCGACCCACCTCCGACCCCAGGAGTTGTCACCTGGGGACTACTAGTCCCAAAGTGCACCGCTTCCATCACCTTGCCTACAGCCCCAGGCGCAAGCGCCTTGTTAAATGTCTGCCTAGTGGCGCGCTGCATTCTGGGACTTGTAGTCCGGTCGTGTAAAGGCCACGCAGGTTCCAGGCGTTCTGAGTTCCGCTGTCCCTTTGGGCAGCCGTCATAGGTTGGCTGTACAGTCCCTGGGAGTCGTCAGTGATTTGCCCTTCTCTTCTTGAAGACATTTTCTTGAGCGCTGACAGAATGAGACTTGTTCCCAGGTCGGTACCCTATTCCTTGAGGAACAGTGAGAATAGTCTTCTGCCCTCGGGGAAATAAATACAAAAATATCATCATCAACAACAACAACAAAATGGATCCTTTGACGACAGAACCATGTGAGGGTTTTACTTTTTTATTAGCGCACTCTTTTCGACTCTAATATGCAGATATCACCGTTCGCCTTTTTGCACACGTGGAAACTTAGGTTTTAGGAAGTTAGCAAACACTACACTCACTCCTGGGTTACACTCCAATCTGCCTCTGATTCAGAAGTCCCAACAACTAAGCCGGACCACAAAAATGAAGGAGGGCAAGCAAAGCTAAACACACGATTAATCATAGTTTTCTAAAAAGCCCGGGGAAGGAAAGAAGTTTAGGATGCAAGTGATTTTTTTTTTTTTTTAAGTTTAGTGAAGACTGGATGGATGTTGTAATGAGTTGCAATGACTGATTCACAGGCTAACCGTTGGTAAAAATAACAGGTGGGTTTCTCTTGCGAAAGCCCATTTCTTTTGTGATAATTCAGCAGGTTGCTTCAGAATTGAGGAGCTTGGGTATGGCTTCTGTGACCACTGCGAATTTCATATTTGTTCATACAGCGGTATTCAGCTGTCCGGAAACCTCTTGGTTTTACTGCCTTACCAATTCTGTCTTATCTCTCTGACCATTCAGGTGACAAAATACCCTTTCTTCCTTCACTCCTCCTCCCCTACTTTCAAAAGTGCAGGTGTTTCCTGAAAGTGTCCTTTTACCCCTCTGCTCTTTGTACTCTTGGTTATTCCTCGGTGACTTCTGGCACAGATTCAGCCACCTCATCTCTCTTGTTGATTTCTAGATTTACATCTGACCTGAGGCTCAGACCTGCATTCTCATTCACGTTCCCTTAGATCTAGTCCAGGAGAAACTCAAGTGTAAAATTACTTAATATTTCAGAACCGTGGTTACTCATCTTCTTTTGTAGTTGGTGTCCAACCAGCTGCCAAACTACATAGATTCATATTTTTGCTATCTTTTAGATCATTGCCTTTATTCCACCTTTGCTCCCCTCTAGTTCTCATTATCTCTTTGCTGAGCCATTGCAGCAGTCTAAGTGATGACCCTACTGAAAAGGTTCTGCACCTTGATAAGCCTCTGCCCGGATGCAGCAATCCAGATCAGACCAAATCAAACCGATTAGAAACAGTCCAGGTTTAATGGGGAAACTGCTCCCTGATGATTTTCCAGCACTCCAGAGAGGAGATAGGAAGAGAGATCAAAAGAACCATGTCTGTTTTATGCGGGGAGGCAGTTTAAATACCCTGTGGGAGTGGTCTTGAGCATCTCTTGGGGAGGAGCCATGTTTGGTGGACTTTCTGAGATGAGGCAAGGTTGGGGAAAGAGAGATGGGGGAGCGGGATGGAGGTGGAGCTTCCACCAGAACACCTACAACCCTGTTCTCTTCTATACTGCCACAGAGTAAGCAAACACGCACATCTGCAAACATTCTGAATTCTTCCTCTCTGCATTCTATCTGCCCCTGCCCTCAAGTTCCATGCAACAACTAAATAAATTCTCACACCATGTCCTTTCTTTATCTTTGCTCTTGTATCTCCTCTGTTACCCTGCAATCCTTGTCCAACACCCATGGCCTATTAAGACTTGGCATAGATTCCATCCTCACAAAACCATGCTAAACCTTCCAGAGAGTTCGTCACCCTCTATCATATATACCAGGTTTTCTTTTTTTGGGCCACCACCCAGCTCCCAAATCATGATACAGAGACTTATTAGTTATGAATGCTCAGCCTTATCTTGGCTCTTATTTTAATCTGTTTCTCTTTATCTACAGTTGCCCCAGGACTTTTTACCTTTCCTTCTTTCTGTATGCCCTGCTTTCAGTGCTTCTCATGGCTGACTGACTGGCGGCTGTCTGACTTCTGGCCTTCTCCTTCTCTCCCTTGTTCTCTTCTTTCTCTTTTGCCTAGATTTCTCCTCCTCCTTATTTTCTCTGCCTGCCAGCCACACCTACCCCTCTTCTGCCTAGCTATTGGCCATTCAGCTTTTTATTCGACCAATGAGATGTTGTAGGCAGGCAAGGTGAAACAAATGTGACACATCTTTACATAATTAAGCAAATGCAACATAGACAAATGTAACACACCTTTACACCGTTAAAGTAATATTCCGCAACAATCCTGTTCTTCCACTGTACTGTGTCTTGAATAGTGCAATTTCATGTGCACCGGATTATAATCATTTGAATGGTGTTAACCAGCTTGTTTCTAAATAACCATTTTAGTGAGTGGGTGGTGGCACACATTTTTAATCCCAGCACTCAGGAGGCAGAGGCAGGTGGATCTCTGTGAATTGAAGGTCAGTCTGGTCTACAGAGTGAGTTCCAAGACAGCCAGGACTGTTATATATAGAAAACTTGGATTGCCTGAGGTACCTCATTGGTCTAATAAAAAGCTCAACAGCCAGTAGCTAGGCAGAAGAGGGATAGGTAAGACTGGCAGGCAGAGAGACTAAATAGGGGGAGAAATCTAGGCAAAAGAGAGAGAAGAGAACAAGGAAGAAAAAGAGGGAGATGCCAGGGGCCAGAAGCCAGAGGTCTTTGGATTGTCTTGGAAAAACCAGAAACCAAAAGACAGCAACAACCAAAAACAAAAAAGAAAAACAGCAGTTTATTCTGAAATTCCCAGTGCTGTGTCTCCCCTACTATAGCTGTTCAGGAATTATGCTGGAGACCCGCTTCGGCAAGGGGGTTCAGGTCCAAAAGGGGATGTGTGGAGTGGGTGGAGGCAGGAAGAGAAGGAGGAGACAGACACAATTGGAGGGTGAATCCGGTTGGCTACCAGGAACATTTTATTGAGAAAAGATTATGCCTTTTGTACTGAATAGTTGCACATAGGATTAAACTGGAGACAAGGGCCGCGTGGGCTGGGACGTGGCTTGAGTCAGGAGTTGAGGAAGCTGGGCTTGACCTTGACAATAGGCACCAGTCAAACGCTAACGAAAGGACTGTTTAAGGGAATATTATTTTCAAGTGTGTGACTTTTGTCTACGCTGCACTTGTTTTATTCTGTGAAGCTGTGTTACTGTGCCTGTCTAAAACACCTGATGGTCCTAATAAAGAGACGCCAATAGCGAGGCAGGAGCAAGGATAGGTGGGGCTGGCAGGCAGAGAGGATAAATAGAAGACCTAAGGAAGAAAGAGGAGCAAGAGAACAAAGAGAGGAGGAGATCAAGGGCCAGTCACCCAGCCACCAGCCGTCACAGAGTAAGAAGAAAAGAAAGGTATACAGAAATAGAAAAAAGATAAAAATCCCAGAGACAAAAGGTAGTTGGGATAATTTAAGCTAAGAAAAGCTGTCCAGAAACAAGCCAAGCTAAGGCTGGGCATTCATAAGTAATAATAAGCCTCTGTGTGACTTATTTGGGAGCTGGGTGGCAGGCCCCCCAAAAAGCCTAACGAGTAAAACATCACACAATAAAGGACCATAATTGCTTTTTCAAGCAGGAACTTTCCTCAGGCTTCCAAGGGAATGGAGACCCCTTATCCAAATGCCTGACCTTGGGAAAGAACTTCCTCTGGGGAGTCGGCATTTATATTAAAGTTTCTTAGTCTTACTATATGGGTCTGTTTCCCTCATAATGCTCCCAAAAGGGAAGGTCTTGATATCTTCCTTTTTTCCCATTATACCATACCATTCTGATTTCTCTGTATTTATTAACTGAACTCTTACCCATTAATGGCCTCGCTCTCTGGATCTGAATCCTAGGCATTTCATTCTTGGGATCAGGTTAGGAGAGTACATTGAAATTCCCGGTTCCACAGTGGCGGGGATTTGTTATCCAAAGAATTATTTTGTTTGGTGAAACTAACATTGTACACATTTTCCTTCTCTACCAAAGCCCATACAAACTTCCCAAAGGGAAAGGGCATTAAAAATGAAAGTAAAACGGTGCTGGAGAAGGGTGGCCTGCAATGTGGAAACGCTGGAACCTCCTTAAGCAGCGACAGCCACGGTGCGGTCCACGTCACCATCGGATGTATTTGTTTGCGCAGTCCTTCAGTTTGCTCGCTATAAAGTGGAAAGAATATGATCCTTTCATGTGCTCACAGGGGTGCGGTAAAAACACATGAGCTCATTTCTGAATGGTGTTTATCCCTTTTACAAACCTGCAATCCTGCAATGCTGCCATCCCAGATCCTCTTTGGCAGCCTAAATGAAGTTAGCTAAGCAAATAAATACCCCAGCATTGGTCTTGGCTGTGGCACAGAGAACAGGACAAGCCAAAGGGCAGCATCAATCCTCTAGTATCTGACAGCTAAAAACAAAGACAGCATAAAAATGCTCGGTGACCTTTAGATATATTTTCAAGTCAGTTATTTGGAGTGGCTTCTCGACAGTAACCCAGTTTTTGTTGTTACTATTATTATTATTTTGTCTTCCTAATGTTCTAATCCTAAAGACTTCCAAGCCTCTGCCTTTCAATAAGACCTTAG